ACTTCCTTACAGAGCCCCTCCTCCAACACACACGAACGCGCACATGACCAATGAGGGCACGAGATAAGTTTGTGCACAGATGGAAGGCTGACAGGCAGGTAGGCCATCTAGTTATTTTACCCGGGCCGGCTCAGATGATTGGTCGTGCTTTTTACAGTACCACGGCTTCCACAGATGACCTTTACTGTCAAAGCACTTCAGATATTCATTGCTATCGGGATGTTNGGGGCGTGGGGAGGGGCTCCTTATTTTCATCTAAAGTAACAGACAGAGAATCAGCACTTTTGAAGCAGGGCTGAAACAGAGGGGATTATGGGATGCTGCAATGATCTGTTTGGTGTTTGGAGCCAAACACTTCAGAGACATGTTTTGTATACATCTGAGACCTATAATATATTGTTGAAAATTAGTATAATAAGGGACCTTTAATAAAATGTAGTAGTTTCTTTAGTATTTCAGTTTCTGGCTTATAGGATGTGTCTACCTCAGTTTGTGCTGCACCAGGGCAGCAGCCGCCCCGCGGTGGTGGGGCTTCAGCCTGCCAAACTCCTTATAGCTGCGGTAGTATTGCTGAATGAGCACAGCAGCCTTCCTGCTCTGCTGGAACTTCTTCTGCTCGTGGTAGCTGCGGAATTTACTCTGGATAAGGATGGCGGCCTGCGTCATCTTCTTATAAAGTGCATACTGCCAACGAGAAAGAACAGCGTGTCAAGCTTTGCTGAGTGCCATAGTGCTACGAAGTTCAAACTGTAGTCAAATAACACAACCTAATGTTTGGCAATTAATTCAGCTGCTTGTAGTGAAAAAAAGTTACCTTCAAGGCTATCCATGTTAGCTTGCAAACAGAAAAAAGGAAATATTGTGAGTGATGCACTAAAATACTCTATACTCAAAAAGTCTGTTGAGTTTAAAAATGATAAAAAGTTTAATTAAATGTATTTAGGAGGCTTCAGATAGTTAACTCATGTTGTTATCTTCCTCCCAAAAGACTATCATATAGACTAATTACATTCAAACCTGTAAACAAAACCACGTATTACCATATCAGGAACACCTCAATGCTTTGGAGGTGCCTACCTGTTTGTATTTCTTGTAACAACGTTGAATGACAGCAGAAGCTACTTCCTGTTGCTCTCGGAGCGGCCGCCCCTGTAGGAGAGTAAAGTAGGACAGGTCAGAGGTCACAATTGCACCTGCATTTGCCACAAAGGATATTGGTGGCTCTGTTAAGTCTCCCTTTGGGTCTCCCGGTAGAGGCAAGTGAATGCCACCATGGCACGAGTCCACCCCCGGTGAACTGCCCCCCACATGAGCAGCGGGGGGGAGGAGGTGAACTGTCAGGCGACCCGGAGGCAACGGTCCACCTCAGAATCAGCTGCTAGACAGGCATAACAGATGACTGCAAATGACAGCGAACAGTTTGTCATATGAAAACTCATTAAAAGTAGCCGGGGGGCAGGGAGCGAGTTGAGGAATGGGATCGGGCAGGGGGAGAGGACTGGTGTGTGGAGAGCTAGTTTGAAACAGGCAGTAGCAGGCTCCATACACCTAACTAAGAGAGGGAGAGAGAGAGAGAAAGCGAGAGGAGAAGAACATAAGCTTAATTATGTCTAATTGGAGCGGGGATAAAGGGGGACAGTGCAGTCGTTCCTCTAAGCAAGGCCATGCTCTGCTCAAGGCACCTTCCCATGCTGAAACCACAGGGACATATTCGGATACATTTCTGTTCATGTTGTAATGTGTATGTGAGCAGAGGAACAGAGAATGAGACAGAGGTAGAGGAAGGAAAATGTGAATAAAATTGAGCAAACAGTACATTCCCAGACGAATGAACCGTCTCACAACCCTGAACTTTACTGCAGAAATCAGAGCTTTACGGCTTGGGACCAAACAAAACCCTTGTACATCTCTCAAATAAACAAACACAAAATCATCTAATAATACCACTCCTAACAGTGCAGCCCTGTCACTGCGGGCTGCTGTACACACAGCATATGGCAGCTGAGCGCCGGGCCTGTACCTTGTACTTGCGGAAGGCAGTTTGGACTAGGCGGGCGGCCTCGTACAGCTCTCTCTGCTCGGGGTCAGACAGAGTCAGCTGGGCCAGGTCTCGCTCCACCTTGCTGTTGGAGGCGTTGATGAACTCACTCCAGTCAGCAGGGGAGGGGAGAGTAGACCTTTCCAGGGGCCCCTCTCTCAGTGGAGACCCCCCAGGACTGAGGCTGGGGTTGGACGATGGGGTCAGGGGTTCATTATACAGAGATCTACGGACAGAAAAGGATAAATGTTATTGTATTTTAGACTCCTTCTTCTTCCTGTTAAGTGTAGGAATGAAGCAGGCAGTGATTAGCAAGCTTAAACTAAACCCGAACCTTATGATCAACTTGTATATCTAACTTGTGCATATTGTTGTATTACTACAGTATTGATGAGTGCAAGGTAAGAATTAAGAACCAGCCAGATAAAGCAGGTTAACAACTGATTATAAAATGTTTTTATTATTAGTTTATAATCCAAACACTGACATATATGCAATCCTGAGCCACAGTAACCTCAATCAAAGAAAACACCCAAATTGCCACCCCACTGGTTTGTTGTGGTATAATGCTAAATATAAATAATATGTTTAACAGCACATACCGTACACCAAAATTCAGTTTTACTCTGACTTGGCAGCGCAATGCATAAATAAATGACTTATTCATGTTGTTCTTTATGACTGTCCACCCATTTGTTGGACAATAACAGGTATAACAACCATATAATAGAATATAACAACCATAGAAACAAGGATGAATGCAGTGAGGAGGACACACATACTGTACACACCCACACACTGGCAATGCAATATGTATATCTGCGATTCCCTGGCCCACCGTGCTCCTTACCTCAGGTGTAGGATGCTTGGCAACTGTTCTACGTCTCCAAGGTAGTTAGCCAGCCAGTTCATGGTGTTGGTGACCCCTGACGTGTCTAAGGGCACAGAGTCCACTGCGGTGAAGTTCTCCCTTTTGATTCTCTCTGGCGTTGCTTCAATGATGTGCTCTGCCAGAGTCATCATATTGGCCTGTTTTGTTGGGACAGACGAAGATGAATGAGGATAGGACCCACTTTGTCAATTTAATGACTGTACATGTGCCCACTGTAGGCAGGTATAATAGTTTGGCCATGTGTCTAAAATCTTAGATTTAATGCAAATGGGCTAGAATAAAGATGAGTGATTCTGTTGGAGGCTGGAATTCCTAATCCAGCACTTCATCTGTTGGAGGAGTAGTTAGACTTAGATGGATGGCTTTAAGAATCCCTTGGCTATGGAAGTGGATCAATAGAGAGTTTATTATGCAGTGATGGTCATCGACAGAGTGCCATGTTGGCCTGGTGCATGCCGCCTACCCATTGCAGAAGATGGACATTAAATAGGAGGCGTAGTGCGGTTGAGTCCAATTAAAATCTAGAATTGCCACTAAAATAACCATACTGCAGATTGTAATAGTTTAAAAGTGAAATTAGTTAGAAGTAAAATAATTGCAAAATAAATGTTGCCCACATTATCTGAACCTTTTATCTGCAGCTATACTAGAAACAAGTTCCACACATTTGGCGGACAGATGCTTGTTCTCACCTGCAGGTCATCCATCTGTGTGAGACAGTCCTGGTTCTCCAGATCTTCCCGATAGGATAACAGTTCTGCATCAGCCATTTCTCTGTCAGCCATCACCAGCATGCCTAGCTGTTCCCGCTGACGCAACCGGTTGACCAGCTTCTCCTTCCCCAGGCTGCTGCCTCCACTGACCCCCGACGCCTTCCTCCCCATGCCGCTGCTGGAGAAACTCTCTCTGGAGGTCCATCTGGTTGTCCCTGTGCTGCCTCCTGTAGACAGGCCCTTTTCTGAGCTAAGGCCCTCTGACGACAGGCTCTTCGGGCTAGAGGACAGCTTGTGGAGCTGTTGCTGCTCCAGGCTCAGAGGAACAGACATGGCCTTGTCAGGCCGATTCTGAAACAGTTCTGGGTTGGGTTTATGCTTTTTAGCTTGCGGGAGGTCTCTTTGGCACTCGCTGCTGTAGTAGTTGGAGGGCTCTGACCTTGGTCTTCTCAAGTCTGCAAAAAACACAATAGTCGTAGAAATTAGTTACATAACACACTAACAAAGTAAGGGATTTCCCAGTCAGTGACTTATATAAGGTAATCGGCTTAACTAGTGTACAGTAAGAGACAGAGAGCACTGTACTGGCCTGGATTGAGGCTTGTGGCGCTGGATGCTGTTGTTGTTGTTGTGGCAGGACACCCTTTCTTGCCGCTAGGTGCCACTCCACTGTTGTTTGCCCAGCTGACCATCCAGCTGTCTGTGGTGGGGGCTTCGGGGGCGGGAGAGAAAGACATGCGAGGTGTGGGTGGTAGAGGGGCTGGTGACTGCTGCTCTTCCCTTTGTAGCTGCTCCAAACATTCAGCCAATTTGGTATGGCCACGAGATCGGGCGATTGAGAGGGGTAAGCGACCCAGAGAATCTGGGATAGCTAGGGCACGTCTGTCCCATTTATACAGGACCACTGCTGCCTCCAGGTGACCCAGTGCACAGGCCCACATCTGGAGGGAAAACAGACAAATAAGAGAAAGTGGCAAAGGAAAACAGGGTTAAAGGGTTTCATTACACCAGATTGTAACAAATCTACACCAACTGCAGGTTGCGCATCACATAAACTGGGATGTTCCGCTCTAAAAGTATTAACTTCAGCTCTCTTACCAGGGGTGTGCAGGAGAAGTGATCTACATTGAGAGGGTCCACTTCTAACTCCAAATCAATACTATCAGCATGTTTAGTGCTGGAAGGAAGAGAGAAAACAATTAGTATCGTGCTGCTATTTAGTGTGGTGCACACCAATTACAAACCAAAGTGCCATTAGGCAGAGTATTTTGTTCTCACCGCCACTTGATGAGTGTCTGGATGAGGGTGGCGTAGCCTTGGCCTGCAGCCAGGTGAAGGAGCGTCATGCCTCTGAAGGTCTTGGAGTGGATCAAATGTTTGGACTTGGCCCAGCAAGCTCTGCTCATCATCTTCTCACAGACCACCACCACACGGCTCTCAAAGGAGCTGCTGGCCTGCGTCTGAGCGGATAAACACTAACATAAACAAGAGAGCAAATCATTGTTGTTAGTTGTATACGCCTCAATCACATCATAATGTACATGTTGTTTTACAGTACTTTTGTTATGACAAAAACTCAATATGCTTCCTGAGTGATGTCACATTTTTTCACAACACATGAGTAACGTCATGTGGCATTTTACCTGTGACTGGCTGTTGTTGTTGTTGCTTCCACCTCCTCCTCCCCCTCCTCCTCCTCCTCCCCCTCCCCCTGTTCCTCCCCCAGCTCCGCCGCTCCCTGCACTGCTCGACTGCTGGTGGCTGGCCATCTCCGCCATCCTCCTCTCCATCTGCTCCAAGCGCTCCAGGATAGACATTCTGAACTGGTTATCTAGGCAAACAGTGGGACACAGGAGAAGAACACGTCAGCATCCAGTGTGCAGAAAAAAATGGCTGTCTTTGCTATTACCAGCACAAACAACACTGTGTCCTGACAAGACAAATGATCACACAGTATGCACCACAAGCTGCACCAAATATGTTGCTCTGAGCAGCACTAAGACTGTCGCAGTGACTTGGGGCTTAGCATCATGAGGCGTACAATCAACCATTAAGGGAACAAATGCATTAGCCTCTTTCTGAGATACTGCAAAGCTGATGGCAAGTTAATATCTTACTTTCAGCTGTAACATTATAATCATTATTAATCTCCCCAGAGTGTGAGTGAAAACAATAGCATCAATCATTATCTTCATCAAAACATTGGCTTTACTAAAATAACCTTTCGAGCCTATCAATCATCTGCTAATGGCTGCCATCACAGAACTCCTGCCTCACCAATCAAACACAGCCCCGACACACTAATACAGGTTGAATGATTGGCTAATGAGTGGGGGCATGTTAAATGTGTCCACCCTTTCCCAAAGGGCTTCAGACACGCTCTGGAGGGAGTGTACAGCTGAGGGCCCTCTCCAGCTGATTAAGTATAGCCTATTGTGGCCAAGACTCCCATCCCACCCCCGTACTATGAGTCTGTACGGTAGGAGGACTGAGAAGTTCACAGTACAGAATCAATCACCTATCCAGACTCCTTGAAAACCCAGCCTTTCTTTACATTAAGATGGATGGAGGTGCATAAAAGTTTAAAGTGTTTACACGCTGCATAGAAGGCAACTCCTTTTGTGTGCGCTTCGTCAGTCAGTACAGTTTTCTGCTCAGGTTCTCAGCCTTGTCAAAATAGAGGACATATTATTAATTAAATGCCTCGGAGGAGAGGACAGAGCAAGTGACTTCAAAAGACTTAAATGTATTTCAATTAGTGAAACAGACAGGGTGTAACTATGAAACTTGGCAGACTGTGTGACATCACCAAGTACTATTTGTTCACAATTCAATGTTTTTGAGTAAGTCATAGTAAAAGGTCCATACACTTAAAAATACTGCAATGTTGAACCTGTTGCAATACGTGTATCTAAGATTACAAGACACCAAGGTTTACAGAGACCCCCAATAACACTCACCTAAACACACGCACACGATGCACACGCACGATGCACACGCACACACACGCACGCGCACGCACACACACACACACACACACACACACACACACACACACACACACACACACACACACACACACACACACACACACACACACACACACACACACACACACAGTGGAATGGGATGGGCGCAGAGAGCCCACTGCAGCAGGGAGTATAGAAGACTGCATTAGCATTCCCCATTTAGCCGCTATGAGGCCGTTTCTGTGGCAACCTGCTGCCGAGCGGTAACTAGGCGACAGGATCATGGCTGTGTGTGTATGGTCTGCCTGCGTGCTATTGGCTTATTGATGAAGGGGAGGGGAAGGACTCAAGCAAAAAAAATGGAGAGAGAAAGGCAAACAATGAAAAAATAGAGTCCATAAATCTTCTTTGCTGTTCTGTTGTGTACTTGGCCTACTCTCTTTTCTCAGTGTTGACGCCGTAGGTAAGGACCTAATGACTCTAAGTGGGGAGCCTTCACAGCACGACCTGGTGACATTTGCGCCATGGGGAGCTAATGTCACAGTCAGACCTCCTATAAGCCGCTGTAAAAGAGGTCAAGTAACTGCTATCATTGGACAGACAAACATAATGTCACTAGCTGGTAGATGTGTGCTTTCTGTGACAACATGCTGCACTGTGAATCTCCGGGTGGACAACACCGAGGCTTCTGCCTTCAATCCTGGTGTGTGCCGTAGACTGTCTACGTGAGTCTGCAGTCAGATCAGTCGTCACTCTCTTATCAAGAAGGAAAAAAGCTTGGAGCGCTTTTAGTGCTTCGTCCTATGTGGGATCCATCTTGACTTGTGTAAACAGGTGAGGTGAACATTTGAGAGCCTGAGTGCTGGTGTCAGGAGGGGAGTCAGAAGGTTGAGATAGGTCACAGCACAACAACCTGACTTGGTACAAGGCTATGCTCTCCCTCTCCCTCTGGCTGACATGGGGGTGGGGGGTGTAGATGGCAAGATGGAGAGAGAGAAAGAGAGAGACAGGGAGAGAGAGAGGAGGGGGATAGTTAGCGGTAGGCTGACATGTCTTTGTTCAGACCCAGTGCTGCAGTGTGCTGCAGTGCAGATGATGTCATCTCCACCTGCTGCCTGCTGCTCCAAATGCGATACACGTCCACTGCAGAGGGAGGATGGGGGAAGAGACGAGTGGGAGGGGAGAGGGAGGAGACATGGAAAGCGAACAGCCACACAGAACTGTAACAACACTGTGACGATGTGAACGCCCTCCCACTCTCCGGTTTACTCCCTTGTGACGGTGAGTGGCAGCAGACGTGGTCACTCGAACATTTAGGGCAGACGCGCTGTTTAAAAAGCAGTAAAGACATAGCAGACCACCGCTAAATATATTGAAAACACTTTAATGAAAGCTGATGGGTGTAAACTTACAGCTGTCATAACACAAATAGTATTTTTAATGCAAAGTAAAGTTTCTCCGATAAGTCAAGTCTAGTTGCTTGTGGAGATTTATTTTACATCTTCCCCTATTGGTGATGTATTCACCTACAGGACTTTGACCCTTGCTAACTAACCAATTGAAAATTGTTAGAATTCAGAATCCTGAACAAAAAACTATACTGACTTTTAAGTTCCATACATTTTCTCACAAGTATATCTACCTCATATCTGTTGTGGGTTGTACTGTAAAGCGTCTAGTTGTCTTTTCTGTCATTTCAACTAATACAACTCAGATACATTTAAATGAAACATTGTATTATAGAAATTGTGCCGAACCAAAGCAAACTTATACTGAAAAATAATGTAACCACTAAAAATGTTATTTGAATGAAAAAAGCTAAGAAGTATTTTTTTCGGTACAGTCTGTCACATGACAATAAAAGTACATTTTCTTAGTGAAATATCAGTGAATGTTCTGCTAAAAGATGACCTAATTCGTCTCCCATCTGAAGTGAGAGGAAAACCTCTCACCTCTGGGACGAAAGCCTGGAGAGGATGGGAAAACACCACACTTCAGGTCTTTTAATAGGGTGACAGTTGCCTTGGCTAAAAATGGAACATTACACATCTATATTGTGGAAAAGCTCAAACCTAATACTCTGTGGCAAGAGGTCTCGGACTTTCATGACCGATATAACCCAAATGAATAATTGCGTAGCTTGCCTTGAGACCGGCGCTCATTTTTAATAAATGACTAGTGTTGTCATCATGGACCCACCAGACACTGGCCCGTGACCCGGACCCTTCATACAGATTAAGAAACTGGGCACCACGGGGAAAGTCACACATCAGTAGTGAGTGCTGCACTATAGCCATAGCATATCTTTTTTTTTTTTTTCTGCGCTAACTGGTGATTGCTCTGTGTGGCTCTGCTGTTGCTTCATATTAGCTTCTCTGAAAGGACACTGAGGGAAGCTGCATTGGGTCATAACCCAAACAACGTCAAAGCCCTGCCCCACGTGATTTGCCTCATCTCTAGGACATGACAGCAGCTCTTGATGAGACAGGCTGATATACAGACGGATAGTGGAAGGAAGGACAGGGCTGAGCATTGAGGAGCACAGAGGGAGGGAGAAAAGGCTGAAGAGAGGAGGAAGACAGCAGGAAATAAAAGGACAAGGTGAAGTGAGCTGAGGAGACAGGAGTAGGGTTATTCAAATAGTGAACTTCTAAAAGAGTGAGGGAGGACATCTTTAATGCTCACTTCTAAACCTCTGGTTGTGTTCATGCCAATCAAGTATAGTGCTGGACCTCATTATCGCTCTGCAGCCAGGCAACTCCCCACATGTTTCCCGGCAGAAAGACCAGAGGCCAGCCACCCTCTGAGTCTCTGTGTGAGCTGACTGACAGGGGCTGGTATTTGTGACCGTGCAGGGGAAGGGGCCAGGCCATCTGGCAGCAGCCCTCGCAGCTGGAACACACGGCTGTCGGTTGATTAAAGCCTGACATAACTTTATATATATATATATAGAGTAACGAGTTGAAATGGTTTCCATCTTTAGTTATTTTTTCTTTTTATTCTTGTTAGCAGAGCTATAACAGAAGAGTTTAAATAGTTAAAAAAAAAAAGGTATTGTATATGCCCCAGAGACATATTTTTGTTCTTATGGCATCAAATCAATTTGAGGATGCTATCTATCCATCCATCTGTTATATGGCTTATGCTGTTCAGGGTCGTGGGGGGCGGGAGAGATGAGGGGTACACCCTGGAAAGGTCGTCAATCTGTCCATCCGATCCAGGCTAACAGATAAACTCAAAATGTCCTTCATCTTCACATCCAGACACTTTTAGCTTCCAATTCACCAAACCTACATGTCTTTGGACGGTGGCAATGGAATCACCTGGAGGAAAAATGCCTTCTCTACAGAGAAACAACAGCGTTGTTCATTTCTCTCTGTAAGGGGATTGTTGTGTCAGTGGGAACACTTTCTTATAGCTGGTGTTGCACACAACAAAGTCATTACACCACAAGACACTTTTCTTTGATGCCAACATTTTTCATTTGATTTTAAAGTTAAGCCAAAAGATGAAAGCATCATCTCTTCTCTATTGCAGGGTTTTACTGAATTAATACAGCAACAGGTGGACCACTTGCAATATGTCCTGCCAGATAATTCTGCCCCACCATTGTTCACGCATAGAATTGATTCTCAAGCACAAACAGCATTTTAATGCCCGCAAACAAAAGGTCACAATGCATGAATGATACTTCTCTGGTCTGCCATAATGGTGAAGCAGCTCTTAACCTACTAGCATTTGTCCAACTATATAGGTCAATATAAATGCAGTCTGAAAGGTGGATAGATACATTGTGTCATATTAAGGGTAAAATGCCAAGAATGAACACCATTGGGACTTACTGTCAACCCCCATCACACTA